AATTTGTGAGTTCTTTACTTGGAATTTTTTTTAAATTAAAAAAATTTTAAATTAAAAAAAAAATATATATATATATAGATTTTTTTTTTATATTATAAAAAATCCAAGAACTCACAAATTCTTTTTTTAGGAAAAAAAGTGTGTATATATTTCTATTTTTTTTCTTTCAAAAACTTCCGAATGTCACCATAATGAATTCATTTTTTAGAAAAAAAAATCTATATTTATTTATTTATTTATTTTATCAATCAAAAAACTAATGTAAAAAAAAAAAACGTGATGTTAAAAAAAAAAAAAGACAAGTTCCAACATCATGAGAATCGAGTTGTATTTTCCCAAGATAAAGTCACAAGTTGTTTCGTAAGGAAAAGTCACGTGTTAACGAGTGACTTTCAAAAGGACAACTTTGGCTCTGTTACACATACCTCTGCTCTGGAGGAAAAGTAGGACTCGTGACTCGGAAGAATATGCCTTTCTGATCTGAAAAATTAATAAACAAAGAGGACAATATTGAACAAAAACAGAAAAAAAACCCTACTCCTTGGCTTCTAAAAAAAAAAAATACACATGGGACTTTATTCCTGTAATAATGCACCTTTTGCTCTTTCAAAAAAGAAAAAAAAATTCAGAAAATAAAAAGGCTTTAAAATGACATCATCGTGCTGACTTTTAACAGTAACTGTGAAAAACTCGTAATTGTGTCGATTCCGTGCCATGTCATGCCCCGTGTGGCGCTAACCTAGCATTAGCTGTCCGTCCATCTGAACGGTCGTTATGTTTCCAATCTGCCGCGCTTCGCCGGCTCCGTGCGAGTGTCGATAACAAATCGACCGTCCTTGTCCGATCGCATCTGTTGATCATCGTGTGAAACTTGAGATCCTCTGACATAACCCAGCCGGACAAATCATTTGACGCCTGGTGGGAGTCGAGCGTGTCACAAGTTGCTTCTTGTATCTTGACCTCAACGGAGTCTAAGCATGTCGTAAAAACGGATTCTTATTTGGTGTTCTGTTGCTAAATGTGAAGTCAAGCTGCTCTGCGTCATGTGAGCCACCGCTGGAAAGATGAATAAAACATCACCGGGGTCTTGAATTGTTCTTTGAGTCTGCTTCATTTTGGGTAAAAATTGTTAATGGATTTCTACAAATGTATTTCATGCATTCATACATAAGGGCAGTCATTCTCCTTGATGAAGATGAAGCAAAAAGCAACAAGCGCAGCGCACAATAAATCAAATCCCGCTCAAGTATCACTCAGATCTTTTCTATTGACATTAATTTCACTTGTTTTCAAAGCCGCATGTGCGACGAACGAACGTCGATCCAGGCCCCGTTCAGGCTTCATAATTTGATTTCGAACTAAAGGAAGCACAGGAGGAGACATTTTCATTTTTTTTCTCATTACAACAAGAAAATGTCATTTTAGATATTCCGTTCTTCCGATTTTGATTTTTGTCTTGGACTGCACGCGTATGCTCAGTCAATCAATAACCAATCAATCAAGTGAATTCAAGCAGTTACATCACTGAAGCCCATCGATGACATCAACGATGGGCGAATGAATGCGCGAAGAGAACAGTCGGTGCATTCCAATTGAAACTACTAAACTGATTGACTGTAGGCAAACATTTATTAAAATTCATATCGAGAATGATCCAAATCGGATTGTTACTGTCCCCAAAGACAACGAACATACTTGGAGGCAAAAGTAAATTTTTTGGGGAGAATCTGATCATAAAAACACTTTGAATTAAACACGGGATGACTCTCGCTGCAGGCTCGCCAACACTTTGGTTTCCACGGCAACAGAGGAAAGCGGAAACATCCAGCGGGCGGGAAACCAGAGAACCATTCAGGGAGGAAATGCGCAATACAAAAAAATATTGATCATGGCAGATGGCACATTTAATTAACGACGGGAATTTGTCAACATCTGGACTTTATTTTTTTTTTCTATTGTTTGCTTGTGGCCCAAAGCAAAGTTTGTTGAATAGACTTTTAATTAACATATTGACGAGTTTTAGGGAGCTCGGGAGGGTGTGGGGGTGGTTCGTCGCTGAGATGTGAAGTGAATCAGTCAGTCGGAATCTCGAAACGTTGGCAAATCAAGCTGGATTTGAAATTGAGCATGCACACACACACACACACACACACACACACACACACACACACACACACACACACACACGCACACACACACACACGCAATTAAAGTTTACGGCTCGGCGGTCGTGTTGTTTCCATGCCCATAAGCTGGCCGAACCAATGAAATGCTAATGCATGTGAGCGGGGCCTTTTTATAAATGCAGTAAATGGCTCCGTGCTTCCGGTGCAGCTGTGACGTGCCGGGCTAAGTGGCGCTGAGAGGCTCATGCCCGCCGCGCTCCCGGTGTTTAGCGGCCCGTCGCTCCCATTTCAGGGAAGAAAAAAAAATGCAGAGAACCAGACCACACACACTTGCACTTCGTCACCTGAAAATTGTGCATAACAAACACAAAGTGGGGCGATAGCTCACTTGAGATGCTTCGGGATTTCTTCAGGTGGTTTTTAGCACGCCAGACTTGGCTTAAAACAAGTGTTGCTCTGACCGAAATATGACTCGGAATCATAATTAGGACCAGAATCAACATCAGGATCAGAACCAGAATCTTCATCAGAACTGGCATAGTGGTGAGAACCTGAATGTGAAGCAGAACCACAAGAGAAACTGGCCCAGGACCATCATCAGGATTTGAATGACATCCAAAGAAATGAGTTCCGGGTTTGTCACCCTCCACAAGGGGGCAGTATTTCCTACATCAACACCATGTCAGCTTCACTGCACGGACATTGAAAGTCAGGATCCCCCCCGCAAACTGGAAACTTTGAAAACTTCATAAAAGTGAAAGCGAAAGTGCAGGTTGGCCATCAAGAAAGCACAATTTTATGCACTCGGAAATATTTCCTAATGCGTATGTTAAAAACGAAGCGTTGGAGGATTTTAAGTGAAGTCACGTTCCAGGAAGCTTGAGTGCATCTTAAGAGCCACCGCTTGTTCATTTGAAATGTCAGCGTTCAGGAACGCGCCACTAAAAGGCTCCTTAATCAACCCTCCCGTTTTCTACCGCGCTTCTCCTCATCGGAATTGCGGCGAGGATGGAGCCGATCCCTCGTGAATTTGGGTACACCCTTGGACTGGTCGCCAGTCAATCACCGGGCACGTATAAATAAACAAATATGGACAATTTCGAGTTTTTTTAATTAACCTGTGCTATTAGTATCTTAGGCACCTAAACCGACAACAAATATGCTCACCGTGTTGGAAGAACATGAAAATAAAATGTGGAGGGGGGCGCTGCTCAGTGTACACACCGCACAAGCATAGAGGCCTGATGAGCATCATCATCATCATCATCATCATCATCTTCATAATTCATCCGAATCCGATCATTAAGCGCATGTGTGCTCGGTCCGTGCGTGTATAATTCAATTTCGACGTTGTCGGTCAGCGCATGCGCTCCTTCTGCTTTATTGGGTGTCCAACCTGCTGAGTTGCTATGGAAACGTACAAGAGCGCTGCATGAAAGGACAAGGATTTCTCTCTCAAAAGAAGTCATGACTGCAATTTTTTTTGTGTGTGTGTGTGTGTGTGTGTGTGTGTGTGTGTGTGTGTGTGGTTTTTGTCTGCAATGTTTTTTTCTTAAGAAATATTATTCCACTGGTGTGTACAACAATGGATAAATAACAGCTCATTGTAAGAAGGTTCCAAAGAGCTCATGGCCTTGCGGTCGACTACCAAGACCTTTCTGATCACAACCTGCAGTGGGACATCTACACCAATGTTGTAATCGTTCATGAAAACTAATCATATTAATGGAATAAGGTATTTAAAAAATGAAACTGCTTTAAAACGGGTTGTGTGCTCACACTCACATCGAGCAGGGTAATTGTCGGGAAATTTGGTTCCTCGAGAGCCATATCCTGCCTGTTTTGGATCCCTTCCTATTCTAACACACCCAATTCAATTGTTCATGATCGTTTCAGGCCTCCATTAACCTGCCACGGATATATTTGAAATGAGGAAGTAAACCCAGAGAAAACCCAAACAGGAACGAGGAGAACATGCAAACTCCACACAGGAAGGCCGGAGCCGGAATCGAAGCGTTTACCTCTGTACTGTGAGGCGGGCGTGTTAACCAGTCGATCCCTGTGCCAACTTCACCGTGAGATTTGTCAACATTCAGTTGAAGGTTGACAGAAGAAGCGCTGTGGCGCCCTCTCTTGTTCGAAAAGCAAAACTGCGTCCTGCGTCGCGCTGACGTCAGCAGCAAGCGTACGCCACACTTCGCAACACGTATTGAGAGCGCACTTTGAAAGTGTAAGAGTCGTAATCAACCTAATAATAAATCCTCATCATTATAACCGTAATAA